ATCTTATTATCCTTGAGACAGGGTTTTTTTGCTCTGTCACCCAAGCTAGAGTATGGTATTGTTATCATAATTCACTGCCACCTTCAATTTCGGGGTTCAAAGAGTCTTCCTGTTTTAGCCTCCCAGGTAGCTGGGATTATAGGTCCATGACACCATATCTAGCAAATTCGTTTTTTTGTTTTTTTAAATTTTTTGTAGAGAAGGGTCTCACAATGTTTTCTAGGCAGGCCTCAAATTCAGGGCCTCAAACAATCTTCCCACCTTGGCCTTCCAAAATGCTGGAATTAAAAGTATAAGCCATTATATTTGGCCTTATTATTTTTTAAAACCAAGTACTGTGATTTTTTACCTGATTTGTTTAGCTTTTATGAAGATTTTTTTTTTATGCCTTCAAGAATTTCTCAAATTTAAGTACCTATCTTGGGTGATGATTACTGGATAGTCCTACTCTGCTTTGTTGCTCCACCCTTTCCTAGTAGACATGATTTTACTAATTAGAGCTCATGGCTGTGTGCGTGTGTGTGTGTGTGTGTGTATAAAAAAAACTACATCCAAATATTCTGAGGTCAGCTGCTAACAACAAAAATCAACAGGAAAAAAAATAGTTGCCTTATCTATTTACATCATTTTGGTTTATCACTGTAGTTTTTCATCGTAGTTTCAGTGGCTAAAAGAGAACTGAATGCAACCAGGTCATAGGATCCTTGGATATCCTAACTCTCTGTTCCCAAGAGATGTAGGAAACAAGGTCTTATCAGCTACAAGGTCAAAATGTAAATATCCTGATCTTTGTATCACTGTGCTCCAGTGGATGCATGAGCATGATGAGAGTAGGGGCTACATCAAGAAAAAAGGAGAAGAGCTGGAATATGAAAGGGCCATACAGGGAAGGGAGATGAAGACAGACAAAAGACTAGAGAGCTACTCCAGCCAAATCCAGACTCATGATTATAAAAACTGTCACAACATGGCTATGAGAGCATTGGGAAGCATGTTTGCTGGATTGCTGGGTGTCAAGAAGGAAGAAGTATTGGGGGGGGGGCAAGGGTGGACTGTAGTGCAACAATAAAGAGAAAAAACAAAATAAAACAGGAGAGTTCTAACCTCTCCTTCCCACCTCACTTCTCAGCCTGGTTTATTGTTCTACATATAAGCATTTTGTGGATGTATTTTTAACTTGAAAATCTGAAGCACAATTCTTGGCTAACTGCACTAGATATAGGAGAAACAGAAAGCTCATAAAGAAAGGGCTGCCCTAAATTGCTCCTTAGATATGGAAGTAGCAGACAGGACAGGAACTCTAGGCTCCTGGCTCTTAGTCAACTTCTCTCCCTACTGGAACACTCCCTCTTTCCACATGATCCTCACACATAAAAATGCTGTGCTATCAGATCCTTCTGCTGTTCATTTAAAACATCAGCTACTTTTCCTGACTGCTGTGATTCCACCAGTTGTACTCCTATTATTTCAGTGTCCAGTGTTTCCAAATCTACCCCTTAGATTTAGATTTCAAGGCAATACACCGGAGTAATTAAGAAGCATTGACTTTTTACTCTAACCAATCCACTTCTCTAATTTCCCTTGTCTCAGCTTAATAACAGGGAGAATAATAGTCCCTAGTTTGTAAGATTAAACCTTAAGTCATATAATGCATATAGCAGATGTAGCACAGTTCTAGCACACAGTAAGAGCTTGATAAATGTTGATATTTTATGGTACCATTTCATTCCTATAGGCACTATTTCAAACCTGGATTACTGCCCAGCTATGGCACTAGCTTTGCTCTTTTCCTTCAGCTAACTGATCTGGTTTCCATTCTGTGCCTGCTCCAATTTAGTTTTCTCAGTCTTCTTTAAAGCTCTAATGGATCATTCTGCTCTTCTAAAATCTAGTGCTAACTTTATCTAGTGACCATTACTCTACAACCATTTTTGACTGTCCGAAACTTTCCCATCAATGTCTCCCTAAGCTACATTTCCCTTGTAGCATTCCAAATCTACTAGGGGAGAAATTCCTGATAATCTCAAACTTGTACTTACTTTATTTTTAAGTTTTTCTGCATTAATACTATACAAAAAAACCTTCCTTTCTTGGAATGGATCCATTGCCATAGTGATTCTCTCTTACAAGCCTTCAAATTCCTACCCCCACCCCAACTTTGCAGGAATATAAAGAAAAATGAACAAACTTCCCTCAGCCTAAAATAGACTGCTTTTTATCTTCACTGTCTTCATACCTCATTCCAAAGTTTTCTCCATAATTTTCTATGTTCAGTTTGAAAATTTCTTCTCCGTTTGAAAAGGAATCAAAACCCAAAGCATCCCCATACCTAATCCCCTGACCTTACTTTTTCTC